CTCTATATATATATATATATATATATATATATATATATATATATATATCTTCTTTTTTCTTATCTTTCTTTTCTCTCTTGCCTTTTTTCCTTTTCCCAATATCATTTATTGCTCTCTTTTCTCCATCCTAATTCTGCTTTCTCTGGTGGTCACTTTTGTTGGGGTTATCAGTGTCATGAGTAGATTTGTGTTTTGTTGCCTTTGTGTTGTGTCTTGTCAAGTTGTATCTTGTACTTGTGGTAGAGAATGAGCCACATAACTAGAAACCCTGAGAGGAGACTCCATCCACGAACAGGACAATAACACTCAAGACCCAACTACATCAAAAGAACCCAAATACCCCAAGTAGGACACATCCCTAGAATACCCAGCCCAGAAGACCTGAGAGATTGCACCACTGGGTCCTACAAACCGTCTACTATATAAAACAAACTCAAAAAATCTAGGTGAAATAGAAATTTGATCTAACACATAGAAACAACCAATTTGGAACAGCAAAATGGGGAGACAAAGAAACAACCATCATACAAAAGAAAGGAAGGAATCACCAGAAAAGGACATAAACAAAATGGAGGCAAGCAATTTGTCAGAGAAAGAATTCAGAGAAATGGTTATTAGGACACTAAAAAGGATTGAAGACAAATTCAACATGTGTAATAATCAATGGAAAATGAAGAAGAATCAAGAGGAAATGAAGAATGGCATGGCTGCAATAAAGAACACAATGGAAAGTATCAACAGTAGACTAGAAGAAGCTGAGGGCCACATCAGCGAGTTAGAAGACAAGGTAGGAAACACCCAAGCAGAGCAGCAATTGGAAAAAACACACATAAAAAACAGGAGGAGAGCCTAAGGAGACTTTGGGACAACACAAAATTAAGCAACATCCACATAATAGAGGTGCTAGAATTAGACGAAACTGAGCAAGGAACAGAAAACCTGTTTGAAGAAATAATAACAGAAAACTTCCATGATTCTGGGAAGAAAAAATTCACACAAGTCCAAGAAGCACACAGAGTTCCAAGCAAGATGAATTCCAAAAGGCCGAGACCAAGACACATCATAATTAAATTGGCAAACATCAATGACAAAGTAAGAATCTAAAAGGCTGCCAGAGAGAGAGAGAAATTACTGACAAGGGATCTCCCATTAGACTATCAATTGATTTCTCAAGAGGAACACATCAGGCCAGAAGGGAATGGAATGGCATATACAGAGTGATGCAAAGCAAGGGACTGAATCCAAGACTACTATATCAAGCAAGGCTATCATTCAAAATTGAAGGTGAAATCAGCAACTTCACAGACAAAAGAAAAAGGTTAAGGGAGTTTATTACCACCAAGGCAGCAATGCAAGAAATGCTAAAGGTACTGTTGTAAACAGAAAAAAAGAGAAAGGGAAGGTGGAACACAGGCATAAAGAATAAAAATGGCAACAAACCAGTACCTATCTATCTATATATATAAAAGCCTAATATGTTAATTGTCCCTCTGACCATTGGACTGTTCGGCCAGTCGCTATGATGCACACTGACCACCAGGGGGCAGACACTCCAACCAGTAGGTTTGCCGGGAGCCGGTCCATCCTTGCTGCTTGACACAATCGCTGCAGAGAAGAAACATCTGCACAGCATATGTTTCAAGGGACCTGGCGTATATGGCATACTGTTTTAATATGTTTGCTCCCCTTCTGGGTGCTATGTGTTTTAACCAAGGTCACCTCTCCGAGAAAGGTTGTTTCCCCAGGTAGGAATTTTTCCCTGAAGTTAGGGAGGGAATAAAACTCCTCAACTAAGTGCCAGGCGGGTAGTTAATCACTTTAACTAAGAACAATCACGCTTAAGCTACATAATCTTTATTCCCTGGAATGGAGATAAGAAACAACGCCCTAACCTTTGGAATAGAAATTGACAGGATTAAAATCAACTGGTATAAATACAGATGTAACAAGACAACAGGAGACAGAACCTAGGGAAAGAACCTAGAGACAGAACCTAGCAAGAGAACATGGCAAAAGATCCTGCACAGAACCTGGCTACAGAACTTGGCTGGAGAACCTAGACAGAACATGGCAGGAGAACATGGATAGAACCTGGCTGGAGAACCTGGCTGGAGAACCTGGCTAGAGAACCTGGCGACCGAACCTGGCTGGAGAACCTAGCGAGAGAACCTGGCAATAGAACTTAGCTGGAGATCCTGGACAGAGCTTGGCTGGAGATCCTGGCTAGAGTTCCTGGCTAGGCTGCTGATCAACTGAATGCTGCCTCCGTGTCATTCATTCTTCGCCGACTCCGTCCACACCTTTGGGGATCCCTGGACCTGCTGGGGTTGGACCCCAGCAAAAGCTAGTTGTTTAGACAAGTCAGCGACTGATGAAAGGCCTTCCACAGGCCGTGTGAGTAGGTGCCCACACGGAGGCTGATGGGAAAGGCAGGGCTCTGCCAGGGCGACACTTGCGGGAGTTGTGTTAAGGCGGCGAGGAGAGAGCGAGCGAGCGGATCAGGAGGGAGAGCCTG